AGACTCTTAAGTGAAAGTCGTCATATAGTTGGAACAAGTTAGTCAGAATATTGAAATTTACAAATATCCGTAGTCAAAGCGCAGAAATCAGAATTTTCACATATATTTCAAGAGCTTTATATATGTATATAAATGGATATATATATATATAAATCAGCGAAGTGCTGACATTTCGCTAGACATGTCGTACTAAAATTTTCACTAACCGAACAGAAAATATTACGCCTTATGAATTAAGGCCAGTATGTCTCTCGTTGAGCAGTTTTATATGGTTTAATAAAATATAAAATTAACTGAAATTTAATTTTCTACTTTTTTATATAAACAAAAGTAAAAAATTAATAGGAATAAAAACACTATGTCAGCAACTTTACAAAAACAAATTTTAAATATAAAGCTAGCAGATATATTTCTTTTTATTTCCAAATATTTACATACAATGTACTTTATATTCCCTTTTTAGAAGTCAATTTTTAACAATAATGTATCAAATTGCATGTTTTTAGTAACAATGAAGTGCTGCAACATGTCGACAATTCACTGGACCCCTCCTATTAATTGCATGCAGCACAATAACTCAATACCATTGTTGCTGCTGTTTCTGGTGTTAATTGTTGTTATGAGTTGGTGTTATTCTGCTGGTAATTACTAAACTTGATTTTGAAGGTTTTAAAGTCAGTACTAAAGGACATAAATATTATTAAATTTTTTAATGTTTATACGGCAAAAAGGTATATGACATGCCTTAACAATGTGAAGTTGATTATAACAAATTGTAGTTTTGTATGCAGCTGTAACTCCCACATTTTTTTCTGAGTTACAATTTACATATAGAGTTAAATTAGTTCATTGAAATCAGTATGAAAGCTGATTGAAAAAATTACTACACGAAAATTTTCTTAGGTTTTGTGGTAAAATATTTAATAAAAATGTATGAACACTTATATGAAAAACATAAATAAGTTAATTAAATATTAATCATGTCTAGAGAATAATAAATTATTCTTAAAATGAAAAAAGCAATATTAATAAAGCAAAATTAATATAATTCGCAATCTTTATAATTAAAAAAATTAATATTTTATTTAAAATTCTAACTTTATAAATCTTTTATATGCTAATATGATTCATTAAGAGCAATTGAATACATATTATATATTATTTAATAAAAAAAGTTCATATATAAGCATATAAATTTACATGCAGCAATTAACAATTAATTATGAGAAACAGAGTATATACGAACTATGTAGCTTTTAAAAAAATTTAATATTTATGAAATACACAATGCAAACGGCAGCAGTAACACAACAGTAGACGACATATTTCAATAGCAACAAAAATTTATATGAATAAGCAGAAAACACTTTAATATTAAATAATAAAAAAATAAAGAACCGGACGGAAATTGCATTTTCATGGTGAAGTGCGGGAAATTAAGTTTTAAGATTTCTTCACTATAATATATACATATAGATATATATATATATAGAATATAATTTATTACGATATGTTAAAAGTTACTAGGGTTGTAGACTGGGTAGACAACTAAGGCAGCACACAATGCTATAACATTGGAGGTTGCTCCGCTGCCTATCATCAATGCATGTCGCATGCATATGAAGTGCATATTATGTATTATTATTATATTTAGTTATTCATTGTTCTTGCATGTACGTATATATTTAAAAATATATTTTAATGCTTATCATAAAATTAAAAGGAAATGAATTTTTAAACTCTTTCCATATACATATAATTAAATATATATATAGCTGTAAGGGCATTAATACGCAAGAAAAGAATATATCTTAATAATAAATAAATTTAAGTCTTAATGTTTGTATACTTTATATATAGATATAAAATATAAATCAATTACAGATATGCGTAAATTACATTAAATTTTTTATTAACAATATTTTTAAATATTTTGTTAAAATTTTATGTTTAATTTATGTTTGCAAAGAACTCGCACATGTGTTCAAAATATACATTTTAAGCGATAAAATTACGTTTTAACATTTTATTTTAAAATACATGCTTTAAATTTTATATAAGTACCAACAAGAGATACAGGTAAAGATACTACGTCTGCTATGCTATAATATATCCGAAGACGTTTATATTTTTCTCTATATATCTCATATAGATTAACAAGTAAAAGCGACGAAGTTCAATGAATTTAAATATACGAATATTGAACATAAAATGAATTTAATATTCTTAATAAAGTTTTGGTTGTTTATATTTAAGGTATATAAGTATATAATTTTTATATTATATATATACATGTGTTGTTAATATAAATATTCTTAATAAGGTTTTAGTTGTTTATATTTAAGGTATATAAGTATATAATTTTTATATTATATATATATATATATATATGTGTTGTTAATATAAAAATAAGAAGACTGTTTGTCTACTTATATTAAATACCTACAATTTTGTTATTATATCCGGCGAGACAAACAACATTTTTAAATTGAACTTGTTTTTATGTATAAATAATTTATAAAAAAACATTAATTTGATGGAAAATTTATTGAAATACATTTTTGAATATACTAATGATATTTATTTAATTATACAATATGCATCACGATTAGATTTGCATAAAAAAATATATTTAAATATTAAATTTTATTGAAAAAAAAAAAATCTTAATAATATGAATCATTTATTACTAATTAAAAAAAAATAAAATAAAATAAAAAATTTATTATTAGAGTTACAACTAAAATATAATGTAAAGTTAGAATAATTTAGTAAGTATCCAAATTATTAAAGCCAAAATATTTACTATTTAAAGTTACAAGTATATTAATAGATATTTATTGTGATTAATTTGTTAATTGAAGTTTAACGTCATCAGAAAATGACATTGAATAGATTATGTTCGCATGTTAAGTTTTTTTATTTTGATAAACCTTACATTAAGATAAGAGTATTAGGGCTTTTAACTATCTATGGTGCGGAAATAATATTTGTTGTTGGTAATGATTATAATTAAAAGATAGTTTATATTTATTTTTAAAAGAAACGAACAGTATTTGAGATGGGAGTAAAATTCACATTTCTAAATTTTTCTATGTTCGGATAGTTTCTATCGAAGGTATGACCATTTCATGAGACGCTGCCTTCTTAAAAAATTTTAGAAAAACATTCTACCATCTTAGTCCGGAGCATCGATATTATTTTAGCAATATGTTACACAGCGCCTCTCTATCTAAATTATTCTCATCTTTATCTCTTCCATATTTATAATCACACTAGAACTGTAAAACATTTAGTTTTGAAATATATGTCTGATGAAAATGGAAGATCAATTCTTTCAATACTCTACTGTAGGTTAAATAGTAAATAAAATTGGATGAAAAAATACCTTGATTATAAATATTCTGTGCACACTTTGAATTTATATTATTCTACTCACATTTAATGTAAATACAATATTTAAAACAACTTTTATATAAAATAATACGAAAAATTTATTTCAAGTTTGTCTGGAATTTAGTGACTTGATTTTTTGGCTCTAAGCTTAATCACTCAAATAAATTGTTTTCTACAACATAAGCTGGTTTAAATTAGTATAATTTGAATAAATTAGAAAAAAGGAATAATTGAATTGGAACCACATCCAATAAATGTAGTAATCGAAATAATATTGAAATTATTATCACCGTAGAAATTTTATGATAATTGCATATAAGTATATTATTATAACTCTTATCATTTGCATAAAAATTGTTCTGATAGAAAACTAGAAAAAAATTAACAACACAAATTATAGAAAATAAATTTTAATCACTGATTTAATGATGTAAAACCTATAAGTAAAGTCTTAAAAACATATAAATAGAAGGAGCCATTAAAAGAAGAATTGATTGAATATTAAACTAGAAATAAAAAGTTTAGGGGACTATCAACCTGACTGGTACAGTAGTCTAAAACCTATAAATGAAATTGTGATATACATGTAGTAACATGAGAGAGTGATTTTAAGAAAAAATTGCCGGGTATTAAACCGTTGATTAGAGAAACTTTACTACAGAATATATATAAAGATCATAAAGTTAATTTAATAAACATTTATTATAATTATAGAGGGAATCTAATAGTTTTCTCTTACATATGTGGTGATATCTTATATTAAATATAAACAGTAAGTTATAAATAGTTGTACACCCAGAATAAGTTAAAACTTTCCTTACCGAAAATCAGGACTTAAAACCAAAAACTTATAACATCCAAAGATTCAAAATGAATTCATGAAAATTACAGTATATATTATAAGGTAGAAATTTTTTAGTATATTTTTATATACAGTTCACACAGTTGCAGCTAAAGAGTATATTAACTTTGTCGAAACGTTTATAGCTCAGTAAGAATCTTTAGTAGAATATATTCTATACATATTTTTGATCAGCATACGATGAATCGACTTAGCGATGTTCGATTATTTAAGTGTCTATTGATACACAAACTAGTAAATCCAAAAAAATTGCCACTGAACCCCAGAGATCAAAGAAGAAATAATAATGAAAAGAATATACTGAAAGATACTTTGTTGTGTGATGGAAAACTAGTGGCTGTAAATATACGTGTTGTATTCTTCGAAAATAATTAAATCCAATATCGTAATTTTCAAAAAAGTTTTCTTGGCTAAAACTTATGAATTCTCCTTATTTACGAAATCTGAAGTAAAACATACTAAAAAATACTTTCAAACTTGAAAGTTTAACTTCGAGAGCACAACTCTTAGTTAATAGAAAGGTAATATCGTTTGTGAATAAACTTTTTGAAAATTATGACATAGTGCAAAATTTAATAAAGCAAAACAGAAAAACAAATAAGTTTAAAATCATATTTTCTATGTTACAAAATTTTAAAACCCTTCGTATGTATATACACGCATTTTAATAAACTTTCTTTGTATATACCTTAATAATTATAGGAAGATATTGATCTAAGTAACTTTCATTATAAAACCAATATTTTTTGTTGTTACTTATTTTCACTGAAAACAAGTCAAAGTTTATTGCATTGTCTTTGCCATAATTATTATCCATTATTATATCATATATATCACATTGTGACATCCATCCATCCTTTTAGCCAACTACGTTTCAACCGCAGTTGAAAATATTATTGCATCGTACTCAATCTATTAATGTCTTTGAGCTAATCAGACTTGACCTACTTTTAATGGGCAGTAGTTAAAAAAGCCATTGCCACTGCTAATGCTCCTCTTGAAAAGACTAGGAGATCGTCTGTTATCGTGTGCTAGTGACAGCAATTGTATAGTACACTTTATTTTAAGACAAAGAAATCTAACATACTCGTCACACTTCAATGTTTTAAATAATCCAACTAGTATCAGAGACCTCCAATAGTCTTTCTTTCCAAACGATTGTAACTACTCCGTCTTATGTCTGTTCTTATGCAAATATTCCATTTTTTTCTCAAGAGATGTTAGCTTTTTCAAAGCTTTAACGATTGAGCGCCGATCCAATAACATTAAATTTGGTTTAACGAAATCCGTTCTTCGAGGATCATAGTCATCACAAAACTTCTCAACAATTTCCTAAAATCAAAAGAATGAGTTATCAAGAAATTAACAGACAATAATGACAAACCTTCTGCTTCTCTAACGCATATTCAAGAGAATTGGTTTGTTTCCATAACGCAGAATATAATGGATAATATTTAAAAAAATTGTACCTGGAACTTTCGCTGTAAGTACGGGTCGAAACGTTTAATTTTGAAACAATTTGTTTAAATGGAATTTTGTTCATATTGCAAGTTTTATTTGGAGATCGGACTATGTAAAACTAAAATTTTGAATTTTGTTATTTCATGTCTGTAACATAAAAATTTTATTGTTATATTAAAATTTATAAATAATTTTAAAGAAATTCCAACGCTTGCGTTGTTAATAAAAAATCACAGTGATTGTAAATAATTTTAAGTATTAAAATTTCACGAAACTCACTATGCTGTGATTTATGTTGAATTTTTTATACGAAAATGAGACAAATCACGTTTTATTTTTAAAAAAATTAATCTTTTTAAATATTGCACCTTAAAAGATACTTATAATTTTAATTTATATATTTTTTTTTGTTGCTACTTCATTTTAGTATTCTATAGTATAACATTTTGCTCAATGATGTCGTCGTTTAAAAATAGCAAACACTGTAGTGTAGTATAGTACGTGTTTCTGTGTCGAATCCTTTACACAAAAAAAACATTAATAATAATTTATATACATATGTATAAATTTTCTACTTTTGAATTAGTACAATATTCTGTTTATATTAATTATTTAAAAATATAAAAAATATTATTAAATTTTTACTAAGCAGTCTTTGCCGTTGTTTACTTAATAAAATTTTTGTTAAATTTTTTCGCTTGTTGAAGAAAATACACTCGATGTATGTTGCGAATACATAAATGCTGCGATTTTATTGCCGTCTTCACTTACGTGGGAAATATGTTAATTTTTCTTGTTGAAGGAAGCTGGTAGCATAATTATATATGCCTCTATGTAAACAATTAGAAATAAATTTGTGAGAAAATTTAAGACACCTTTTATGCAATTAAGTTTTTTAATAGCGCTGACGCATTTACTGGCATAATTTTTTAATTAAATATATTGTTTTAATGGAGCATACAAGTTTTTTCAAAGAAAAAATTTCAAAAATTGTTTTAGATTTAAGTACTCTACTCTGAGCAATATTAAATACTAAACAATTAAGAAAGTTTCTTGCTTTCTTTTTCTAATTAGTATATCAGAGATAGTTCAACATTAATTATATAAGTATTTAAAATTTATAGCTAATAACATTTGTAGAATGATACAATAATATAGCGAAATGCTTAGAAGTAAGGAATGATATTCAATAAAAAAAATTATCTAAATAATTAAGTTAGACATTAAATATGATTTAAAATTAAAATATAGTTGATCAAATTGATCCACAAAATTTTATTATTAAAAAAGTTAATTCGAAATGCTTATAATAATTATTTAATTATTTTCTTTATTAATTAATAAATCAGTTTCAACTTAATTATTATTTTTGTTTTTTATAATATATAATATCAGGGACCGAAAATAACAGTTATTTTAAAATTTTTTATGAAAAAAAGCAGCAACAAAAAGTTGTCTAAACTCTTATTTAAGTAAATAGTTATCATTCTAATAACTTTTATCCTTAATATTATGCATGCTTTTTATATATGAGCTTTTTAAAATAAAACTCAAAAAATAATAATTAAATTTGATTTTTATTATATTCATCAAAAATAATAATTATTATATGCCTTTTATTTTTTTCGCGCAGAAATAACTCTTAAAATTTGCTTCTTATTTTAAAACGCACAAATAACTGGTATACTTGCGTTATATAATATAAAAAGCAAGAGTATCGCGCAAATTCTGCGCGATATTTTTAAAATGAAAATATGAAATGCAATTTTCATACAAGGTAGTTGTTTTTGTAATTCCATAGAAAATGTTTTAAAAGGTTGGTGCAGGTAAAGATTTAGTTTAGTTTTTTGTTTTTGTATTTTGCATACAAATTTGTTCTCCTACAAAATACAAATATAAATACAAAATATGAATCCAAAATACAAAAACAAAAAACTGAACTAAATCTTTACCTGCACCAACCTTTTAAAACATTTTCTATGGAATTACAAAAACAACTACCTTGTATGAAAATTGCATTTTATATTTTCATTTTAAAAATATCGCGCAGAATTTGCGCGATACTCTTGCTTTTTATATTATATAACGCAAGTATACCAGTTATTTGTGCGTTTTAAAATAAGAAGCAAATTTTAAGAGTTATTTCTGCGCGAAAAAAATAAAAGGCATATAATAATTATATTTTGATGAATATTAATAAAAATCAAATTTAATTATTATTTTTTGAGTTTTATTTTAAAAAGCTCATATATAAAAAGCATGCATAATATTAAGGATAAAAGTTATTAGAATGAAAATCAAATTTAATTATTATTTTTTGAGTTTTATTTTAAAATGCATATGATAACAGTTATAAGATGATTTTTATTTTTTTTATGATAACTGTTACGGTCCCTGTATAATATAAAATTAAACTAAAAATGATAAATTTTATTTAAGAGAACTTAATATTTACTTATATTCATATCGTCACATACACATACATTACAACAACAATAGAAAATAATAACAATGATATATGCTCTCATATATGCATCCCTACATTATAATAATAAAACCGATTGCAAGAACAGCTGTAATGAATACAGACACAAATAATACTGTTAATAATTATATTAAAGAAAAAAAAAGTGAGCCAAAATAAAAGGAAAATGAAATAATAAGAATTATTTTCTATAAAAAACTTACCATAAAACATTTTCAATTTTATTAAATAGTTGCAATGAATTTGAATGTTTAATTTAAAGTTTTCGTTATCAATTGAAATTCAAAATTTTGTATGTAAATATAGATATATTAATAACAGATTTTACTATAGTAATAGGTATATCCGTTTAAAAAGATTTGGCAGATGATGAGATTGAATTAAAAGGTTTATACAACACGATGAAAGAATGAGACAGATGTACATTTCTGAAAACATTTAAAAAACATTTATTACTGAACTGTTATATTTATAACAGACTTCTGATTAAATAAAAAAGTTATTTTAAATATAATAGGTCAATTGATCTGACCTGTTATATGTTGGTTTATTTGTAGGATCTAACTAAGTCGTACAATATGAATTCTTATAACATGAAAAGCGTGTTATAGGTGAGTCTACTCCTATTCCTGGGTATTTCAAAATAAAATCTATACAGTTTTGTTTGGTTTTACTTTGTCATTTGGAAATTGTGATTCTATTTATATATTTTATTTATATTGCAATGTGTGAGTCCATTTAATATAACTAAATAAATAATAAACATAAAAGTGTTAAGTATTTATTTTAATTTATTACTTATTTTTTTACTAGTGCTTAACTACAGAATTTAAAATTATTTATATAAAATAAATATATACGTATATATAGTAAATTTTTTTTTATCTTTGCAATTTATATTATGGGCAAGTTAGCAAACATTTGTCTGTTTTGGCCGCAAAGTAATATTTAATAACATTTTGCAACGAAAATTTTGTTAACAAAATTGTTTTTGTGAATTTTTAATTTCCTGTTTTCATTGAATTTGGATTAAATATATAAAATTTTTGTCAGATAACAAATGAGAGAATGGCAATATTGTATATATACACGCAAAAGTTTCATATGAAAATATATTTCAACCACAATGGATGTAATATAATGAAGAAATTAGATTAACAGACAAATGTATAAGAAATACTAAACCAGAAAGTAAAAGAAAAAAATTATTAAATTGAACTACTTAACGTTTTCTACACAAACTACGTGATTTGGTTAGTGTTTTCAGTTGAACTAGTTTTTTTTCTTATAAAACAATAAATACTTCCAAACGTTTTGTTTAAATAATATAGGAAAACAAAACCGACGAGTTTCTGTTGTTATTTAACAGCAAAATGAAATGCATTTTTTTATATAAATATACAAAAAAAATTTTTTTTATTAAATTTATTGAATTTTATATTTTATAAAGCGTGAATTTACTTCTTTAACATGTATATTTTTATACAAAGGAAATATTTAATATATGCTATTTAATTAAGTTTGCCATATAATCCACATTTCATTACTTTGAAAAACAGATGTGCAGTTGCGTTGTATTTGAACGCGTTAAAATGCCTTTAATTAAGTCCAAACTCAATAAATTAAAAAAAAATATAATGTCAAAATGAATGATGCTACGACATATTCCATTGATGAAGAGCACTGCTGACATTTTTACTGAACAACAAAGACCAAAGCTTGAAGTATTTTTAAATATTTTCATTAAATTTGAGAAGAATTTATTTAGATTCTCTAAAAGTAAAAAAGTTTTATTTTCAGTCTAAATTAATTAAGGTTTCGTTTAATCTTGAAGCAAAACTATATGCCATTTGAAAAGATAAACGAAACCGAATAAAACAAATAATCAGTTTTAATACTTCTAGCTAAGTGAATATTGATAATATTCTCACATTAGTTCTTTAACATCTGTGGCCTTTTTTTAAATAATATTAGTAACAACTCATTTATAAGGACAACATGTGAAAATAAATGCGAGGTAAATTTTTATCCTAAGCATCTTTTCTCATATTAGCAGAAGTCAATTTATCAATATTTAACAAGCAAATATTTTACCTGTTAACTAGTGACTATAGTACTGTCTTTCTCTTACCATCGCTTATTCTAATAATCGCTTAGTCTACTTAAACCGAATAAACACCGTGAGCAGTTCCTGATCTCAAGGAGAACGTCTGCTTGTTGTTACAATGGTTTTTACCGTAGCACAACAAAAAATCTTCACTCTTATATACGGTAACTTCAGATCCTATTGTCTTCTAATATTTTATTAAGACTTGTAGGTTATGAATAAGAAAAGTTAAAAAGCAAAGCAGATTAGGATAAGGAACATAGCTACAAATAAACTGTGACCAGCTTAGCATGTATGAAGGCATACTTTTTATGTTTTATTTACTTGGGTGAAGTCTTCCCTTATGTCATTGGTAAATCAATATCTGTTCTCGATCTGCCACTTTTTTTCTTTATATTTTTGGCCAATCGAAGATTTAGGATAATCTCTAAATATAATTATCAAATACCATAAAACAGCTGTTAATTTTAGGGTAATTTTAATAATCTGGCAAAATATATAGAATGTTATAAATTAATCTCGAGTGTTATTCATTTTGCCTGATATTA